TACAGGTGCATGCTACCACACCTGGCTAATTTTTGTACTTTTAGTAGAGATGGGGTGTTACTATGTTGGCCAGGCTGGTCTCGAACTCCTGACCTCAGGTGATCCACCTGCCTTGGCCTCCCAAAGTGCTGGGATTACAGGCATGAGCCACCGTGCCCTGCCTTCCCTTCCTTTTCAAACTATGTTCACAAGTTGGCCTTCTTCACATTTAAGCCTTCCAATATCATTATCTAATGGCGAAGTTAGCCCCCATCATCAAATGAATTGGGGGAAAGTGTAATAGGGGTGATTGAAATATAAATCAGTTAAATCTAATATGATCCAGTCTGCTCAATAATCTACTGAACTAAAGAGCTAAACATCATGAATTTCATAATACTTATTAAGGATTCATTTAACTGTTGAGTTATAATTACACCTTTATAATACCCTCTGTTCCTTGCCACTCTGGGTTTTTCAAAGGCACTTCTAATTTCATATCATTATTTTAATGGGGCAATTTCAGAATAATTTGTCTCCATTTCTTAAAGATGTGATTGTGGAACAGCTTTTTGGTTCTCGTGGCACTTTTTTTTTTTTTAAGACAAATAGTGATACTTATTTTCATGCCTCTAAAGATGTGTGTGAATGAACTGAATCAAATGCAATTATCCAGTTATCTATTTAATAAGTCATTATTGAGTGCCAACTATGAGAAGCAAACTTAGTCTCAACCCTGAATAATTCCTATCTCGATTTTTTTTAAAGGATTCTGTATATAATCTCTTTAACCTTTAGCAGATGATTTAAGTTGACTCAACTCAGAGAATCCTCAAACTGAATACTTTAAAAACTTCACCTTTAGGCTGTTTTGAGAATCAAAGAATGATAGGAAATCTTCCAACCACATGCAGGTACCCGTCCCCTTGAAGCCCTCTGGGATCCAGAGATCCCAGGGTGAGCCTGCTTCTACAGGCAATATTCATTTTAGCTACAACACACACAGAAGTACTAAAAGATTATTCTGAGCAGCTTACTTGGGTTGAGAATAATAACTCAGGTTGTTTTAATATAAAAATAGGTTATTTCATGGAGGAAAAACCTTGCATAAGTGATTCTTGGCCTTGTCTGAAGGACAAGACAGGAAATGAGAGCTTCCTACTTTTGGCTGTGGGGAGCCACTGGCAGTTCCTACAAGGAACAGGCTTCTAGTAAAAGTATCCGAAACAGGTTTGAAGGCAGGAGACCAAGACTGGGAATATAGACTTGTAACATCCAGACAAGCCACAAGAAGACTGTACAGCAACGTAAGAAATAGGGGGAAAGTGATGAGTACGAAACAAAGTGACCTCGTGAGAATCAGACCTCTGAACTATGGGGACTTTGCTTCTCTCCTGGAAACCTCTTTGCTGTGGTTTCCCACAATTGCCACTACCTGTGTGGCTCTGCTGACATTGTGGAAGGCGTGCCAACTGGAGCAGCTGATGCCACCTAAAAAGGAGAATGCTCAAGTTCAGTGTTGCTGCTTAGGCCGCTTACTGTCCTGATCTGATTTCCTTTTTATTCCTTGTCATACCTGTGTTGTTGTTACCACTCTCCTCAACCATTCCACAGCCCGTACTTACAGCCTTCTGAATCTTTTGTCTTCCTCCTTTAGCCTCCAATAATCTGTTATTTTACCCATTGCTGCTAGATTAATCTGCCTGAGGCGCACATCTGATCTACGCCATTTGTGATCGGAGACCTCAGTTCAAATTTTCAATCACTCAGCATAAAATTTTCTGATCACTGATACTTCTGGGCACTTAGATCCCACTCGTCTCCTTCCTAAGAACCCTGTTTCTTACATTTCTCAAACTTTTTCTGATATCTTCCATCTCTCACTTTCCCCTGGCTCTGGCAGCTCAGCCTACTGACCCCTGGATGAAGTTTCTTCTTCCCACCTCGGCAAATTTCCTCTCAATAGTTCTTTATTACCTCAGGAAATAAAGTTCTAACCCCTCAAAAGCCTTTGCAAAAAGACTGTATTATCTGGCTGCAAAGTTCTTGTCCTTATTGAGCTGCCATCCTATTCTGCTTTTTCCTTTATCATCAGATTCTTTTTTTTGAGATGGAGTTTTGCTGCTGTTGAGTAGGCTGGGGTGCAATAGCATGATCTCGGCTCAACACAACCTCCACCTCCTAAGTTCAAGCGATTCACCTGCCTCAGCCTCCTGAGTAGCTGGAATTACAGGCATGCACCACCACACCCTACTACTTTTGTTTTGTTTTGTTTTGTTTTGTTTTGTTTTGTTTTAGTAGAGACAGGATTTCTCCCTGTTGGTCAGACAGGCTGCTCTCAAACTCCCAAACTCAGGTTATCTGCCTGCCTCAGCCTCCCAAAGTGCTGGGATTATAGGCATGAGCCACCATGCCCAGCTTAAATTATTCAAAACATGTAAAAAATCATCACATTGACCTAGTCGTGTAAACTAAAAATGTTTGCCATTCTTGCTTCCTGGTACTTTCTCATGTTTAACCAGAAAGTTACTAAATCTGCTGATTCTCCCACTTGGCTGAATCCCATCTTTTTTCCCTACCCTTCTGTCATGTCCCTGCTTGGATCCTAGTTACTGTGATTGCGGTGGCCTTCTGATTGTTCTCACTGTCGAGGACTTCCCTACACTCCGGGTCTGGCTACCTTTGCTGCTGCCATGATATTCCTCAGAAACAAATCTAATTGCATCCTGATCATGTACCTTCTCAGTCAGGCCAACCCCCACCCCCCCATTCTACCCCAGGTACTCTTGATCTCCTTTACCGGGTTCCACTCATTATTTTTTTCCCCCAAGCAAGTATCTTCTGACATACTCTATAATTTATTTGGTTTTAGTGTTGTCTGCCCTTCACCCTACCTCCACGTGTGAGTTGGTATTTTTATCTGTTTTGTTTACCATCATAGCCTAAGCATCTGGTACAGAGTGAGCATATAATACATTTTGGCTGAATGGAATAATGCTAGTTTCCCAGTTTCAAATTCTCCTTGTCCCTCTGCTTAGAGGATGAAACTCAGATGCCTAATAAAACCTTTCAAGAGCTTTCATGATCTGATTCTAGACCCTCCAACCCCAGTCTCTCTCCACTAGCGCTTCATCTCACCTAACGTCACTCAGGCTCACAATTGGCTGAGTTCCTTGACTCAGCCAATGCTTTCAGCCCACTCTGTTCCTGTTGGGTCTGTTTCTTCTCCCGGGGATCCACTTCTCCCTCTTCCCTCAGCAGGGAGAACAGTCCCTTCTCTTTCAAAACTTAGCCCAAAGTGACCTCCCTCTAGGTCTTCTCCAACGCTGTGAAGCAGAATTAGTTGCTCTCTCCTCTTCACCTCCATTGAGTTTCACATTGTAGTTGGGTTGTGACATGTTCTTACACATTGATCCCTCTGTAGCCTCCTTGGGACTCTGTGCTCAAGACCAGTTTTCCTGTGTGTCTTCCCCAGAAATGATCATAGTGTCTGGCAGAGATTTAAAGGGCCACTTAATTAAATGATTAAAAAGAGGAGCTCCCAGTGCTTTGAACCAGGTAGTGAAAGGCTTAAGTGCCCTCTTTTTTGCATTATGTACAAGTCATCACTGTCCTCACCCCCAAACCCCGTGCCCTCCCTTCCCTGTCTTCCTTCTCTCTATGAATGAGACAAGGAAGCAGGGTGCGACTCTACTGACCTGAATCTGGGAATTGCCAATGATCTGTCTCCTGTCCTTGAGGTCACTCAATTAGTCACTAAGTTCTTTTGACTTTGCTTCCAACATGTCTCTCAATCCCAGCTTCTTTCTTTCAGTGCTGCTGTGGGGAGCTCTTACTAGCTTATCACATCTGTCACCAATACAACTGCCACAGCACATGCTCACAATTCTGTATGTATTTGTTGAATGGATGGCTCTCCTGAGTTAAAACTACATTCAGACCACATCAAGCAGATTATCACTTTCATATGGTCATTGGCAAGTTGAACTTGCAAGGAATGTATAGGTTGCAGAAGTCTGGATGATTTTTTGAGGGAGGATGGTCAAGGCCAAACAGAGTGGTTTGGGGTTTGCCGTGGCTTCAGATATTTTGCTTTCTGGGAAGTTGAATTCCTTCCACGCCCTCAATTTTGCCAAAGAGCTTATTTTCTCTGATTATTCCTTCCTTAAAAATTCAAGTTAGGGTATTGGACTCCATAAATATGGAAAAGAGTTTGTTTTCTTCCATGTGGTAAAAAGAGATTGGGATGATTGTGACTTTTAAGGAAGGGTCCACTAGGCATTATGAGATTAAAAGTCTGAATATCCTCAACTGTTCTGTTATTGGGATTAGCATAGATGTTCCCTAAAGATATCCCCAGCTCTCAATTTCTAAGAATTTCTTCTTATTTTTTTTAAGCTAGACTCCAAGAAAAGAAAAACTAGTAGAATTCAGACAATTGTAAAATCTAATGGAACTGTGAGTGAATCTAAAATAGATCAGTAATCCTAAGGTAGAGTCACTTGCTTAACAGATTACAGTGCTGCTGAAGGTCTAGGTAATAAAGCCAGGTAGTAGGAAGTAGAGGGCAGTGGGTGGTGGAAACATTGGCTTCGGAATAGACAGTTGATAAATGTTTTCCCCCTTCTTTTTTCTCAGCAGACATGCTGTAGTGATTGCATCTGCCAAGTCTTACTTGGGAAATTGCCGGACCCGTAGTTACACTGACTCTCATTTGGTGGCCTCTCCCTGTTTTGGGCGGGAGTCCCTGACTTGTCCAGAGTGCTCTCCTCCTCTTTCTTTTTCTCCTCCAGCCTAAGTAGAAGTTGAGCAAATTTGGTTGGGGTGTTCGGAGTCTCTAGGGGTTGGCCAACTGCCCTCAGCTTCAGAATACGCTGGCATGACTTCCATTCCAAAAGGCAAAGAGAAATTCTAGTCAGGTGGTTTCTGTTATCTGTAACCATGGAAAACGGCCATCTGTGAGGCTTGCATTTTAACACTTTTTTCCTCTTTATTTTCATTTCTTTCTTGGAAATAACAAGCTGAGGAAGTGGAGAGGCTGGCGGCGATGCGTTCTGACTCCCTGGTCCCGGGCACCCACACCCCACCCATCCGCAGGAGAAGTAAGTTTGCCAACCTGGGAAGGATTTTCAAGCCTTGGAAATGGAGGAAGAAGAAAAGTGAAAAGTTTAAGCACACATCAGCAGGTAAGATGATTTGTTTTTTCAATTCTCATTGGGTGTTAGTTGGCTTCAACTCTAGTATTTTAATTATTAGAATTTAATTTCAGTAAGCTGTTTGAATCAAAGGGAAAAACAATATCAAGCCTTGGAATTGCTCTTGTCTTTAAAAATTCTTCAATATGATCAAGAATGACGTTTATATCCTATGTGTTTTCTCCTGTCTCATGGGGTTTTTTTTGTTTTTTAAATTAAAGAACGATTCTTTTTATTTGATCTAGGAATAATCTGAATTTAGAGCTTTACCTTTTCTATAGTTGAATGCTTTCATTCTGGCATTGAAGATCCATTGATTATATTCACTGTTGCTTGCATTATTCCAGTAAAAGTGAACACACAGTGGAAAACAAGTTATGTGGTTATTGGCAGATAAGAATAGATTATTTCATGGAGGAAAAACCTTGAATAAGTGATTCTTAGACATAGCAAGAAAACAAATGACAAATGAGTCATTGTAGCAGCAAAGATAACGGTATGATTTGTGGCTCAATGGACAGTGAATACATGTGGGAGAAGTCAGCACCGATGAGGGGTTAAGAGCACAGATCCCGGAGCCAGACTTTCTTGGTTTGAATCTGAAATTTGACACTTGCTGAGTGTATGATCTTGCTCAGTTTATTAATGCTACACCTCAGTTTCCTCACTACAAAATAGAAGTAAGAATGATACCTGACATGAGTTAACATTTGTGGAAAGTGTGTGTGGCATCTTAGGTGGATGTTTTTTAAATAAGTAAGGGTATGCAGAGGGAAATGTGCGACAGGCAAAGACGCAGAGTTTGGACTTCACACTGTTGGGTTTGCGATCGGACGGTGGAAGAGCTGAACAGATTATCTTTGGTTTTGGTCTATTCGGGCTGCCATAACAAAATACTATAGACTGGGAGGCTTAAACAATGGAAGTGTATTTCTCACAGTTCTGGAGGTTGGAAGTCCAAGGTCAAGTTGCTAGTAAGGGGCCGGGCGCAGTGTCTCAAGCCTATAATCCCAGCACTTTGGGAGGCCGAGGCGGGTGGATCACGAGGTCAAGAGATTGAGACCATCTTGGTCAATATGGTGAAACCCCGTCTCTACTAAAAATACAAAAAAAAATTAGCTGGGCACAGTGGCGCGTGCCTGTAATCCCAGCTACTCAGGAGGCTGAGGCAGGAGAATTGCCTGAACCCAGGAGGCGGAGGTTGCAGTGAGCTGAGATTGTGCCACTGCACTCCAGCCTGAGAGACAGCAAGACTCTGTATCAAAAAAAAAAAAAAGAAAAAAGAAAAAAAGTTCAAGGGAGGCTGAGTAGAGCTTGGTTAATGAGAAAATGTTTCTCAGTGTATATAATATCCTTTCATATGTATAATAAGGTTCACAATTTTAAATACAAAGAATAAGTCCATATATTTCTATTGCCATGATTAGGTGTACTGTGGTTTAACTGTAACTCGTTACAGGGGTTTATGTGTTTCTTTATAATTAAATTTCTAGGTGTACCCTTATACAAGGAATAAATCATAATATTTGATAGTAGATAGTATACCTTATACAAGGGGACACCCAGAAATTTGATTTACAAGTTGTGTAGCAATAAGAAAACTACACTGGAAAATTACGATTTCTACGTTTCCGTCCATTTTGACGTCACTATTACGTGAATGCTTTGAACGCAGACCTCGACTTCAGCTTCTTCTCTCACATCCTTCCTATTCTAAGCTGAAGGCTGCCATCCTTAAAAGGCCCTGAGCATTGAGGCCCAGGGGCTGAGCTCCAGATGGTGGTAAAAGTACTAGTAAGACAAGGATTTGTTCTCAGCTGCAGCCCCGCATCGCAGGATGGCAGAAGGAAAACAGGAATGGATAGAACATAAATAATGAGTCCTCAGGAAGACAACCCTGGGTGCCTTTCTGTCCACCCTCTGCAGCCCTGCCCAGGGCCTGTGAAGCTGTGAGCCTGACACATTCAGCTTCTTATGTGAATCTGTAGTGGTGTCCACAATGCATCTCTGCACCTGCCCCAGGAATGAAGACAGATGATAACATCCCCTCTGAAATAGAACAGGCAGTGCCTCCCCAAAATAGTCAACTACAGTGATCTTATCCACGTTCCTTGAAAATGAGGACTGTATTTATAGAAAAGTAGAACTGGCAGGCAGAAACTGTGAAGACACCACTGAGTTATGCTTTTATTTCCTCTTGACAGAAAATCATCAGCCACAGGGGTTGGCCCTGGAAATCTACAATGTGTCAGAATTCCCTTTGTGCTTCTAAGATTTTCTGCACACCTAGGGCCTTGGGTGTTGGCGGGGAAAGAAAAACATGAAAAACTTTTACTGAGTGTCTACCACATGCTGGAATGTCACCTGACTCTGGGTATATAACTGTGAGCCAAACCAGACATAGTCTGTGACCTCCTGGCATGCACGATATAGTGGAAAGGTAGCTGATCAAATGTTAAAATTACAAAAATAATTGTAAAGTCACACATGTGATAAGAGCATTGAAGGAAATGTACTTGGGAGAATGAAAGTGGGGGACTTCACTTAGTCTTGAGGGGTCAGGGAAACTTTCCTAAGGAAGAAAGGTTTGGGGTAGGGTCCGAGGAAAGTGTAGAAACGTAGAAAATGGCCAGATGCGCTGGCTCACGCCTGTAATCCCAGCACTTTGGGAGGCCGAGGCGAGTGGATCACGAGTTCAAGAGATCGAGACCATCCTGGTCAACATGGTGAAACCCCATCTCTACTAAAAATACAAAAAATTAGCTGGGCATGGTGGCGTGTGCCTGTAATCCCAGCTACTCAAGAGGCTGAGGCAGGAGAATTGCCTGAACCCAGGAGGCGGAGGTTGCGGTGAGCTGAGATCATGCCATTGCACTCCAGCCTGGGTAACAAGAGCGAAACTCCGTCTCAAAAAAAAAAAAGTAGAAAATGAGAAGCAGAAAGAGCTTGTGCAAAGGCCCTGTGGTAGAAGGAGAACTGAGCAATCTAGGAGAGCAAGAAAGACCAGTGGCTGGAGAATGGAGAGCTGAGCATGGTGCAGGCTGAGGCTGGAGAGGTAACCAAAGACCAGCTCCTCACTGGTTCTGCCTCATTTAGAACAAATTCAGGAGTGTGTGTTGCTGCAGACAAACCCATGGGAAGCATAATGCAGATGATAGTAGCCTGAACTAATGTCTGGTGCTGGAAAGGGATGAATTTGGGATATTTTATGAGGAACAAATGACTTAGTTACAGATCAAACATGGGAAGGAGAGAGAGAAGCAGTGTCACCTTTGAATGGAATGTTCCATTTTGGCATTTGATTGCATTATTATTTAGTCTTAAGAAAATCCTACCATTTGTGACAAAATGGGTGAACCCGGAGGGCACCATTCCAAGTGAAATACGCCAGGTACAGACACAGATGCAGCATGAGCCCAGTTCTATGAAGAATCTGAAAGAGTCAACTCACAGCAGCAGGGAATAGAATGGTGGTTGCTGGTGTGCGGGGAGCGGGGAATGGGGAATTGTTTCTCAATGGCCATAAAAGCTCAGCTATGCAAGATGAATAAGTTCTAGAGATCTACTGTATAATACAGTGCCTCTAATTGACAATCCAGTATTGTGTACTTCAAAATTTAAGATGGTAGATTTTGTTAAATGTTCTTACCCCCGCCCCCACACACACACATGAACACAAGGAAACTTTTGAAGGTAATAGATGTATTTATTACCTTGATTGTGGTGACGCTATCATGGTTGTATGCATATGTACAAACCCATCTACTTGTGTATTTAAGCATGCAGTTTGTACACAATTATGCCTCAATAATACCATTTTTTAAATAAAAAAATGGTTTTCAAGTTTCACGTTTGACACCCTAATATTGGTTTGTGGTGGTGGCTCTACCTGAGATGAGTACTTCTGAAGAGTGACAGTTTTAGGGGTTGTGATTCCAATTTTAGATGTGTAGATAAGTGTTTAGGTTAACTTTGTGATATCCAGAGTTGGCAGTTGAATATATGGAACAAAAGAGAGAGAGCTGGGCTGGCTATTTAAATTTCAGCTTATTAGCTTATGTATAATAGAGTGATGACCACATATAAGATTGGCTAGGAAACAATAGAATGAAAATAAAAGGGGGCCAAGGACTGTCTTATAGACAAGGGAAGAATATCGTCCTTAAGACTAGATCGAGGAGGAGGAACCTGTAAAGGAGATGGAGAGGCAGGGGCCAGAGAGGTAGGAGGAAAACCAGAAGCCTAAGATGTGGTGGAGACCAAGAACAGGCATCCAGGAGGCTGCGGTTAACCGTGTTTAATACCATGAAGTCAAGTGGAAGAAGTACAGAACAATGTCCATTGACACTGGTGGCTCCACTCACCTAGAGCTCATTGGTGACTTAGCAAGAGCTGCCTGGGTGGATTGTTTGGAGCAGATGTGAGATTAGTGTAGAGTGAGAACTTAGTGGGAACTGGGAGAAAACAAGTTTAAATTTTTTAGAAGTTTGGTAGTTAAGTGGGTAAAAGATAGGACAAGATGGGTGATGGAGGAAATCTGTGTGTGTCTATAGGGGGTTGTATGTGAGCCTTCTGATTTGTCACCATTGTTTTATGATGGAAGGAACATTGACACAAAAAGCCAATGTGAAAGAGCCAGTAGGAGGAGGAAATACGAGACAGGAGAGACAGGTTAAGGATGCTGAGAAGTGAGGAGTAGGTGGGTTACAAGGCACAGAAGGAAGGGCTAATACGGGAGGGGGGTGGGGGGGGAGGGAATCAACTCCACTGCACTCAGAGGGAAGCTGCTGGAGTAGACACAATGATACATTTGGTGACCTCATCCAATGGCGGCTGAGTTTGTCTAGGTAATAAGTGAGGTCATCTCCTAAGAGGGAAAGGAGGAGGGGAATGGACAAAGTGAAGCCCGTTTCAGATTGACGATTATGACTCTACGTGTTACTGGTGACTTTTTTCATTGGTTTTGGCTGTCCTAGTACAGCTAATAGTTG